CTTTGAATGAATAATTGAATTTAGACACAATTTTGGACTACTGACCCATAAGCCTATAAAGTCTAATATATATTGGTGTATAAATAGCCAGTTCCTACCACAAATTAGTTTGTTATGTCTATCAAAATACGCAAATTAAGATATTTTAACTAATCACAGATGAACGTATAATATATGTCTCAACATTATTTTCTTGAGTTGGTAGTTTAGCAATCCTCTACTAACTTGTGAATCTAATCTTCACAGGAAAAAGACCTTTAGTTGGATGTTGTAAGGTAATTGCCTGGTGAAGGTCATTCATAGTTCAAGGTCAAGAACTTGAAGGAGAATGGAAGTATTCAAGTATCTTGGCTGATTTGAACAGGAAGTTTCTCCAGTGTGACTCTCTGTCTCGTTTCCATAACTGTCTTTAGATTTTGAAAAAAGTAGATTACCCGGTTGAACTATTGTTTATTCAGGTGTTTAAGTTCATTTTTATATTGTTACAGCTTGGTTTTTTTATTACATGTTTTTGGTGGACACATACAGTAACAATAAGTAAAAAGTAACAAAATGCGTGCTTTGAGGCAAAGAACTCGCAAAGACTCACCTGTCCTATTAACGTCCAATCAAGCTGTCCATCGATCATTCTAAGAGAGCCTCTCCTACTAAGCTCTGCCACACAGGCCTGACCATCACATGGTTCAGACTCATGGCTGGATAGACAATACCTCAGATTTTCTTTTATTGACCAGACATAACAGTCTATCCCTTGAGAAGTGAAAAATAAACTACTGGAAGCTATACTTGGTAGGTTTTCTGTGTGAGTGTCATTTTGTTTGTTTCGTTGGGTGTGTGCGTGTCCTCAAAAAACAAAAACCTAAACTAGCACAAAAAAATTTTCTCACACTTTGGCGCTCACACAACCTTGGTTTATCTATCCCCAAGCTAAACAAGTCACTACTGACTACAATAATTATTTTGCTAAGATTCCCTCTTATGCTATTTAACCTAAAATTGCAATATTTATCTTGTATTTAGTTTGCCTTCAATATAGACTTTGTAAACTCGGATACTTGACTTACTACTCTCAATTACAATAAAGAAGGCTGAGACTTTGATCAGACCTGACTACACTTCACGTAACCTTTGACCCCTGAACTGTCCCTTGCCTTTGACTGCAACCACAGTTGTCGTTGAAGTTTCTTTCAAACCATTAAAAGATTTCTATTTTTAGTAGCTAAGATTTTTGACCAATTTCAGTCATATGTCATTATCAAAGTTCTGATTCCAACCAATTCTACGCACAGGCATCTCCTTGGTTTGTCCTATGATATTACAGCTTAAAAAAAAATATTTAATATCATACATATTGTATTTTTTTGTTATTCTGGGTAATGTTAAAAGGGGATATAATAAATGTACACATTTAATTTTAAAATTGAATTGTATCAACCAAACAGTGTTTATGTAATCTGCGAAAACAACCTGGGAATATGATGTAACATTGTTGGAACGGATGCTGATAAGCTTACATTGTTACGTATGTCCAGTCAGTAACCAATACGTAGGGAAAGATAACTTGAAATGGAGCACGTTGAAAATTGTTGAGCAAAACTTGTTATTAAAATGAATACTTGAATCAGTTAACTTATGAATTCTTGAAGTTCTTATGAAGTTGACATTATGAAAATCTTTTGTTGAATTGTAAAGTAATAACCCAGTACTTGATTGCATACATAACAACAATGTGTATCACAGGATAAATGTCATTTTATAATACTTCGTGGGAAGGAATTACTTATTTTATGACTCTCTGGAAGTAAAATGATCTTTGGTCGGAACGCTTGGATTGCTTTTCTGTCAAGGACTGAGTTTTGATTGCTTTTCTGTCAACGATTGATGTAAACGGATTTTTCAAAATTATTCCGTTGATTTTATTGTTCTTAATTGTTGTCCTAGTTACTGTTATGTTCCATTGTTGTAAACATAAAATTTATATATGTTGTGGAACCTTTATTTTGTCATAAGTAATAAAAAAAAATACATTTTGTTTAATTTTGTTGTCAGACATAGTTATAAAATTAGATTGAAGCTTAGTAATATTGAAGTTTAGTAACAATATTTTTTCTACAAGTAAAGATTACATAAACATCTGTACAATATATTTTTCACCTCACTATGATGTTTTTGGCTGTATTACATACGTTAATTGGTGCTGAAAGTTACGTTTTGCTGGCCATGCCAGCTGTCATCGTAATTTCGGGACCGAGCAGGTTTTTACAGCCCGGGGCCGCAAAATCAGCTGTCCGCTTACTTAAAACATGAATGCATTTTAAATACACAATCAAAATCCATAGCATTGCAATAGAATTGTGTTATTGTCACCGTTTCCTAGCAACTATTTATTTTTATTTTTGTTGATTCTTTAAATTATTTCTTCACATAACCATAAAGTTGTAGTTGTGTTGACTATCAGTGTGCATTATTATAGTGGTGAATAGTGGTAATAGGGTATAGTGTGGTGAAAAATAGCGTTCGTACCACGGACCGAAATGGTTTTGCAGCTCTCGATCGATTTAAGTTCTCGACTTCGTCTCGAACTTAAAAACTATCTCGAGCCGGCAAAACCTCATTTTCGGCCCTAGGTACGAAATATACTATTGTTCACTTTTAATTTAAGTTGAAATACTTAAAGAAAGTTAACCAGTAGGCCTGCCTATGTTAACAACAATTGTTAGGACCAACCATTTCTTAATTATTTATACTCCTTTAAAAAAAATTGTTCTAAAATCAACACAATTCTTGAAGTGTTTGATTTATTTTAATCAAAGGATCAGTGTTCTCTCAATTATTATCATACTGCACAACACATCTGAACCATCCATCCAAAAGAACAAATACTCCAGCCGCAGCAAGCCTGTAGCCTAAGCGAATTTCCACCTGCCTGATTGGATAATTGAAATATGTCCTTAAAACGTCATATTTATTGCCTATTTAAATAACTTATTCTCCATTAGAACAACATGGGAATTTTAAATACATTTTTTTGTAACCATTAAGCATGCAAAAACACTTCATATACAAATTTGTTTGGAGACAAATTAATAAAATATAATATTTGGAGGTCCAGAAATGGGCAAATTTGATTTTTACCTCACAAAACTCCGTTCACTTAGCTTGATCACGCTGGTTCGCGAACTCGTTCGAGTAAACATAGGTATACACGTTATAAGTAGTCTACTTAGGTTTGCTGCGACAGGGAAGGTAAAAAAGTGTGCTTACGTGAAATGTTGATAGATAGCTTAGTATACAATAAATAAATTTGCCAAATTTCATCAAACTATATCAAAAAAGAAAACTACAGTACAACAGTTTACTTATACTTTATATGAATAACATAGGAATTTAAATTGAGGCCTACAGTTTTTTTTTACTTTTCTCTGTAACCATATATCTATTATCACACATTCCAGAAGCACTCTTTTAGTGTTGAGTCATTTTGTCTGTGATTAGAATTTATAATTAATTTAGCAACTGGTGTAGTATCAGTTAGAAAGTAATTTGGCTGATAACTTCATACAATCGTGATGTTTTACAACTTAATGTATATTGTGCACTGCTAAAATTAGAATGTTTTAAAGTAACACATTGTCTACGTCTTGAGAATCAGTTGACTAGATATAATTTTATGATAATTTGTGATGCCTTTGATAATTCATAATTAATAAAAAAAGACATAGGCTAACATCCTTAATTGACACCTTTGATGAAATTATTTTAACTAGATTGGAATCACTTTAAAAAAATTAAACATTATGTTAGTTTACCGTTATGGTTTATTTTGGCGATATTAGGTTTATTTGTTTCATAATCATTATAACATATTTTCCCTCACACTACTATATATTATAACTAATTAATCAAATATAGTAGCAATGTGCGGTTGTACAATATAATAGTGTATTTCATGACTAGGGTGTAAAGTGACTCTTTTGGATAGGAGCTTAAGTTTCACTTAAGGAAAATGAGCGAGGGTTGAAAAGACACTTTTTGCCTGTGGGATGAACTTTACTTTTTGTCATATTGCAACATTATTTAACAAACTAAGCTAGAAAAAAATACATTTTAAGAAAGGATAATGTCCTTAATAGTTAAAACCTGTAAAGCTGAAACTCTGCTTAGTCTACAGATTTGCTGCAGGCAGGATATTTTTTCTAAAGGGGTTCTCCTGCTATAGAACAAGTCAAGGTTAGAGTTAACAAGGACAACCAGTCGCTAGACACGTGGGGAAATCTGCAATGACGGAGGCAGTGGTCCGGGACCCGTGGCAGCCACTCGCCTCCAGATAACATTAGATTGAACTATACTCAGTTGATATTCAGGGTGGTTTGATAGCTAACCCAGTTTGGGAGCTAATGTCTCATAATTTAAGTTCTAGAGCTTCCTCGATATGTTCCTCTATAGCTATAGTCCTACTCATGATAGCTGAGAGTTTTTCATTGCTAACTATGTTATTATTCATAATTGTAATTATGTATTTTCAAATATATCTCTACTTTTGCACCCTCTGTATATTTACTGATTATGGTACTAATATTTATGAATAAACTTCAAATGTAAAGCCGCTTAAGAGTTAAAATTATTTTTCAGAATGTGGGACATCTAACTGTCCTGAGAGTACTTTTTAAACATTGAAACTTGTACAGAAATCTGTCGTCGTCCCAGTTTGACAGGATTCATGAAAACCCTGGTCCCCAAAAAATGTATTTTAGACAAGAAAATCAACACTTTTTATTTAAGAGTTATTTTCTTTTCAAACCGTCTAAACTCAAACTTTAAGAACCTATCTGCAAAGTTATTTTTGTATCAAACAAATAGCTAAAAGGTCAAGTTGGTTGTGTTTCGGTTAGTTTAACATTTTCCGTATGCAGTCAGCTCCCCTGTGACCTCTATTATCATATATCTTTGTCTCAACTCTGTTACTTATGATTTTCTTGTAACCCCCACTTTTGTTGCAGAGTCTCATTTCTTCCATTTTTCACTGACGTTTGGCCAGAATCGTTGACCATGGACATGGACCATGAATATTCAACTATTAACGTAACATTTAGTAGATTTTTTTCAAAATGGTGTTCGCTGAAAGCTAAATTTTTTGGTTTTGTTTTTGTATACTCCTGCTGTTATCTCCTTTTCGTATACGTGAGTTTCATAAAATCGGTTGTGGCGCTAAAAGCTTTGTTTTTTAACATTGTGATATTTTATATTTTGAGTTTCCAATTTTACTTTGTCCCAATCTTATCTGGTGACAGTGGCTTCTTTGGTTTGTGGCTTCTTGGAGATGGCTTAGGATTAATTTTGGACTTACTGATAAGGTGTTGTTGATAATGATATCTTTGTGGTTTTAAACTTCTCAGCTCCACGAGGAAAATACAATTGGTTTAAACACTGACCAATTTTCCTTTTACTGTAATGTTATTATTGCTTAATTTAGTTAGCCTACATAAATTTGACAAGCCTTTACCCTATTCAAGACGTACCTCATATCACTCAAGTCAAACAAAACTTACAGAAAGAAAATAATATGTCTAAATAACACTCCAAAACAAACTTACGCTACTGGTTTTTATTAAAAATGTTTTCCAGAAACATTACAGGCGGGGAATCATTTGCGCCACCAATGTGGCATTCCAACACAACAAGTTAGTGTTTTGTCAAACCCAGCCATGTAGTGACTTGTTTGGTTTTAATCTAGCGATTGCTCGGTGCAAAGCTCTGCACCAACATATGGTTCAATGAAACGTCCACTGACCCGAATTCTTTATAAGCCTATCTCCGAAACAATCAAACATTTAACTGTTTTGGCAACACTTTATTGATAGAGATGTATGAGTGATTTTCTAGTTGAGTGGTTTTTAAACAACACAATTTTTAAATGAAATTATTTGTTGTACGTGCAAATTAGTAGTTTGGAAACTTTTCTTACTATTCATAGAACAAACTGGAATGAGAGCCATCAAAATAAACTTTCAAATTTATAACCTACTGCATCAATACAGCAGTCTCTAATATTCATTATTTGCTTTTGCAAGAGAATAACAATAATTACCCAAGAATATAAAAAAAACACATTTTGTTGGACGATAATATTTTTTGTTAACAGTTCATTTAAAAGCTGTACTAAGATTGTAAAGTTTTTTTTTTATGAAGGTGAAATAATTTTAACAAATCCCACTTTTTTGTGGATTTTTCTAAAATTCCATAAAAAGCCAGATTTTTCTTTAAATTTTGTATGTTTATGAAATAAGTGAATTAATCAAAACTAGTTACATGTAAAAAAATATTGTTTTTATATTTTAAACACTTGAAATTGCCTATATTCTTTAGGCTACATTCAAGAGAAAGATTAGAAGATAAGATGTTTTCGTTATAAGTCAAGTTGAAAGCAGCAGAAAATAGTGAGAACACAGTAATCCCCCTGGAATGACTTTAGGAAAAGCCATACATTTTTAGACATTCATTTAAAAATATTTGTTAAATTTATTGTTTTTATAAACTGATTCTATGATTTGAAAAAAAAAACATCAAAATTGTTACCTAAAAAAAACCCAGTTTTGTAATTTTCCTGAGAAACTAGGCATCTCCGTTTCCTGATTGTTGAAATTATGAGATCCAGTTTAGAAACTGGAAAAGTTTCACGTGGTACCTAAACTAATCATGGCTTGTACATGGCACTCATGCAACCTGAATTCCGAAGGGGTCATTACCCTAGTCCCCCAGGCTATTCCAGATTTAAAGCGAAAACTGAATTTAAGAAGTTTTATTCTTTAAATTAATTAAATCTCATTTTTTATACAATGCTGAAAATGGTTTGAGAAGTACTGCATTAAAAAAAATTATTAACTGGCCACACTAAAAGCATAATTTAATATATTTAAGAGAAAATCCTGTCTTATTCTCTCTGTGTTGAAATCCATACAATATCTTACCTGAAGAAATAAAAATATTTATCAAAAAGTATAATGCATTCTGATTATAAATATTATCATAGATAATACATACTCCCTTAGATATTACTTTTCACCTTTCTAAGCTACTTTTTGTTTGCTTTTATCTGCTATTGTCATTTTTATTTTTTTCATACTGAATGTTTCAAACCAAAGTGAAACCATTGTGAATATTTTTACCTATTTTTGATTTTAATTGTATTGTTGAAATAGGTGAAAAAACTAAATTTCCTCAACAAATTTTGGTTTAGATTTTTTGAGAAAGGGTTAAGAATAATTTACAGTTTTATTGTAGCCTATATAATAATGTTGTATAGTATTTAGATTACAAAAAAAAACTTTTTTTAAGTGTACAAATTGAACTCATTCAAACATCCTACTGTAACCTTTCTAATGATACATGAATACGATATATTGGAAAAAAATTATCACTTCAAAAGAAAAATACTTTATTTGTGAATGAAAAGGAAAATTCACAAGTAAGTTGGTATAAGACTTACTTTATAAATAAACATATAGTCACTATAATGCTATGCTCTCTGTGGTAGATGATATTCAATATTCAAATATTCATGTAAATGCGGGTTGAATTGAATATTGCCTATGATTGTAATTTCAGTACTTAACAGCACCAAAATGAATAGAATAGCTTTATTACATTTGGTTAACAAAGTGGAGAATCCTTCTTTGAAAATTTCTATTCTGTTTTTCAGTAACGTTTTGCAAATGTAAAGCCTATGTAGTGTAACGGCCTTCTCTTATATTCAGACTTTTTTGCTCAGGCAGGTTACTCACATTTTTTCTACCTCCCATTTTTATTTATGAATATTTCGGTACCTATAATGTCTGTGCCTAAGGATTTGTCTCTCAAAATCTCTTGACAATGATTTTTTTTAAATTCTCCAATAATACTAAGAGTGAAGTGAGAAAAATAACAACCTGATGATACTGATGATTTGACCAAATTTCTCACATTTGATGTAAACTTGAGAACACTTATCTTGATCAAGAAGTATCAAATCGTCAGCATACTAAGACACTAAGACTATTTTAAATCAAAATTTTAAACTATTGCATCCAACACCACAAGTTCCCCTTTCTCTTTTTCCGGCAACCACATCACATATGTGGAACCCCCCCCCTCCTCCTCTGATTATTAGAAACCCGATATCTAAATCACTAATGGGCATTCCACCAGACCTGTAGGAGCCCCAGCTAGAAGCAATGTCCTGATGGTGAAAGGCTCAGTTATGTAAGGTCAGCCATTCTCTCACTCTCTACTCCTGTCTATTCTGCAATTTCCCCCCCTCTCTCCCTCTTTGTCATTTACTGCCTGATCCAGTTCACCAGGTGATTGTGTTGTGTGTGTTGTGCTGTGGGAAAAATTGACAGCAAGGTTTGTTATGCCACTCAGTTCATTTTTCATACTAGTATAGCAATGAATTTTCCTTTACATTTTGATATGAATATGTTAGTTATTTTATTACTTTCCTATGTTAATCTTATGTATTAACTTATCTTACACCTTAAAGAAGTCTGGTTCCTTCTGATGCAAGTGTATATATTATGTTAGTTAATCTATTTGTCATGGGGAGAACCAAATATTGACAATGTCGCCAGATTTACAAATACCAGTACAAATCTGGTTGTCAGCATTTTCTCTAGCAATGCTGTGTACATAATATTACAAAAATGTTTAATTTAATTTGATATTTAATGTTATAAATCAATCAGCCAATCAAATAATTCAAAATAGAGATTTGCAATTTTTGTGGTGAAAGTATCTTTTTTTAAACATTAGTTAAAAATAGTTGCTTTTATTGATTTATACTCGCATTGGAGTTGTAAAGTAAAAGTTTGGTTATGTTTCATTTTAATTACTCTTATGGATAGTCTATTATAAAAGCTAAAAGACATTCTTTGAGTTTTTAAGATATTTTTATGAGGTGCAGATACTGTTATGCAAGGCACTATAATAATGCTTCTTATCTTCCTATTGACTTTATTTGGCTTAATCCAGACAACTTGGATTCCAAATTAGTCTAGCTTACTTCATTACTAATTTTAGAAAGTCAACATTCTTAGCGTCAAATTTGAATTTCAACATGTTTAATTCCCATGTGAAAGTATGGATTGTAAATCAAGATAAAAGTGACATTAAGGTATTGGACTCTTCCAAATCTAGAGATTTAAAAACAATTGTATAAATTGCAAAGTTTGAGACATAGGATGATAACTAAATATTGACGACATTCTGAATGAAAACTGCCATTATAAAATAAATGTTATGAGCTCCTGTTGATATTGTCAATGTTTGTTTGATACAGAGTAAATATCGCCTTAATTAATATGTAATTAACTACTCAATTATACTAATAATTGTGTTATAAGTAGTTGAATGGAAATTCATGGTAGACTATGGTATGATTACTTCTTTGTGTTAATTGTTTGGTCATGTATCAATTAACGTTTTGTGAGTTAACAAATTCACCACTGAATTATGCCAGGCTAAATATACAAAGTAGTGTTAGGTATAGTCGGACAAGATTTATATACTTATTTTATATCTGGTGGCAACTTAAGTTACGATATATTTAACTTAAATTTACTATTTTAAATAAATGTCTATAATCTTGATGGAGTTAAAATAGGTACCCAGATGTTTCTGTAACAAGTCACTAATTTAAGTAATAAACAAATTCTAGCTATTTTGTTTGGCACTAAATATTTTCTTGTTATAATCATTATTAATTATACTGTAAATCAGCTATGATGATTTTTGTATACATCAATGATTTTTGTATACAAAAATCATCATAGCTGATTTACAGTATAATTAATAATGATTATAACAAGAAAATATTTAGTGCCAAACAAAATAGCTAGAATTTGTTTATTACTTAAATTAGTGACTTGTTACAGAAACATCTGGGTACCTATTTCAACTCCATCAAGATTATAGACATTTATTTAAAATAGTAGTCTTGGTTCAAGGGCCGTTCCGGGCACAAAGAAAATTAAATTGTATTTCATCTCATTTTAATATTTATCCACCTGACCTCGACCTTAGACTGAATGGGATATATTAAATATGTA